ATATCGCAATCTGCGGAGTAGAACAACTTGCAAGACACCTAACCAACATCATCACATACCCTTGATGTCAATTTTGATGAAGAGTAACAAAATCAGTGATAAATATTTCTCACTGCAATAATTTCACCATTAATTTTGTAAGAAAATAAATTCAGCCGTTTTATGTATTTTATAATATAAGCGTTCGATGTAGGTAATTCGTGTTCTTAAAGTTTGAACATATCTACTTAATTTTTGATTTATATAATTAATGTATTAATGAATTTCAAATAAAACAAATATCTGTTCTAATTTCTTTCTGAATATTTAAAGATCTTAAAGAAAATGTAGTCTTCTCGTCCTCAATAATGGCTATTATTTACCTGTGGAAATTACTATACTCTCTTCTTCGTTCCGTGTGTCGTAAACATTAACGCATTACTAATAGCCATTATTACACGGTCGTTGAAGAATATACTATCAGCCAATATAGATGTCTATAATTATAGCAGTAACGTAGGAATCATAATTATTAGGAGTGAGTATCAACATCTCACTACAAAAAACTCACATGTAATACGTGTGTATTAATTTATGGATTACTAGTTCATTACTGATGTTTACTATTACTACTTGTTACTACTACTGCTACTACTGCTACTACTACTGCTGCTACTACTACTGATGCTACTACTACTATTATTACTGCTACTACTACTGCTACTACTACCACCACCACCACCACCACCACCACTACTACTACTACTACTACTACTACTACTACTACTAGTAGTAGTAGTAGTAGTAGTAGTAGTAGTAGTAGTAGTAGTAGTAGTAGTAGTAGTAGTAGTAGTAGTTGTAACAGAGACTGGAGGTCATCCGCAAACAAAGAATATTGTGATTCCTAGGCCACATGGAACGAAAAAATTGAACCTGGCTTGAAAAACGGATCGTTGTAGGTAAAGTCGAAGGAAAATGAGAGCGAGGAAGAGCAGCCATGAGATGGATAGACGAATGCAAGACCATCACTGGTATGGGCCTTTAAGAAGCAATGCGGAAGGCAGAGAATCGAAAAGAGTGGAAAAATACTATGGAAGCCATCTCGATGGGTCACCTAAATTCTGTCTATGGAAGAACATGATCAAAGACGTCCACTGCTATCAATAGATGTTGAACTCTCACCACTACCATGCACAAAATGGTATTTTTGAAGTAATGGAATCTTCTCATTAGCTTTTGGCTATGGGTGCAAATAACCTAAAAGTAACGCTTCATCTATTGAATTCACACTGTACTTTTTCGTTCAACTTTCAATACACCATACTAACTTTTAAAATTTCTCAAGATTTTACTGGAAACAAATTGTCTAGCTTTGTTAGCTTTTTCGTAAATGTTCATCCACTTTGTACGAAATTTTTGTTTTTGACTGTTTTGTTTGTGACTGTTTAGAATTATGTATGGTTTCTACACAGGATATGAGAGGCGACTAGAAGCGCGGAGATTTCAATTTTCATGCTAGCCGCACAGCTAGACTCTAGAACAGCAATTACAGCTGTATTTCGCGAGGAAAGGATATTGGTTCGGTTCAGAGCCAGCATTGTTGCAGCGAAACTAACGTTGCTAGAGTGTGTCCCGAAGGAAGCGAATTTTCCTCACTAGCTAAATAACTAGGGGGCATTCAGCCACTGCCCAGAGGACAATTCTAACGGCCGACTGCTCTGATCAGTATCCCAACATGCGGGCCACAGACTGCGTGCGTCTTCCTCTTCATGCCCTATTCTTGTCCATTACTTACATACACTTGCACTTACGCTAACACTTACACGCACTTACCAAACACGTCGAAAAACCAGTCCAGAGAGGGTCCAACTGAGGCGGTGCCCCGGTGAAGATGGGTGTTCGGGAGGGTATCCCCCGCAAGCCGCCGTGTAAATCAGCGTCGGATCTCTGGTTCCAGCAAGGGAGACATACTACCACCGCCCACGAGAAAACATTCACTACGCTTCCGACACTACTGACTACAGCAATTGACGGGTCCCGAAATATCAAAAAGCAAGCGATGATGCCGGGGTAATGGCGAAATGACGCACTCAGCCTTGGGACTACGCGACACGCGATGTTTCAAAATTCCGTTCTCTTTACCGTCCGCTGACGGCCTAGAGTGTCTGACATTGTACTTTATGCTTACCCTATCGCGCGATAACGAAATTTCAGCCAGCAAATACGTAAAATGCATTAAATTTTACGGGAGAATGTAAGCATCGGGGTTTTCCACTTGCCAGTGCTGTATTTCTGTAATAATTTCGTTTTGAAATATTTGCGAATTCATTTTTGTTGAATTTACATCATCACTGATAATAGAAATTTCACCTTGCGAGTCGAAATGTAATTTTTAATCGCCTTTAAGGTACGTGATGCAGGATAAATAGTTCTTGATATTTGGCCGAAGATACTGTGCATGTTTTAGGGGTCCTTTATACCAAAATAGTATTTTTTTAATCGTCTGTTCTTCTCTGCATTTGTGAACAACACATTTGCCTAAACCGTAGAGTATCGATTATTTAAAAACTTATGTTTTTTGTACTTATAGTTAGACATATAGACATCTTAGAAAACGCATGTGAAATATTATACATGCTTGTGTTTCTATCCTCGACATTCTATAATCATTTAACTTCATATTCAATCATATTATTTTCACTGCACTTGATAAGCAATGACCTGTTGGTGGGATATTGGATAGCTGGTTTATGATACAGATATAATTTTTTAAATACATATTTAGTTATTTAAAAAAATCAATATTAGAATTTGAATTGTTCTAAATTTGAACTAGAATACACGAAAACGCTGTATAATCTGGCATTAAAATATTAATATTTTTTATTTAAGCAGCAAATGTATAAAATATTACTTAAAAATATAATTAGAAAGAAAAATGAAATATATTGCAATATAAAACGTTATGCTAACAAAAGATATCAATGTAAAAACAAAAAAATAACAAGGGGAATTCATTGCCGTGTATCATAATCAGTAGTTTATAGAGCATAAACGTACAGTGCTGTGACTATCATTGATTTCAGACGTTTCGCTTATTTCCACGATTTATCATCAATGTTTATTATTTTTAGGACACCACTGAAAGTTTTCCACTAGGCGCACTTTGTAAAAGAAAATAGCTAAGAGAACACATGCTTCGTTTACGTATGAATATTGACTGAAATCACTATCCTCGCGGATACCACTTGCATTTATTGATTAGGCATTACTTGCGGGAAAAATATAGGTAATAGAAAACAATAAATCTTTGGATGCTGGGAATATACTTGTACGTTTATTGAAGGCTATGCAAGCCCCAGGATCTAATATAATATTGTGTTATTTTCCATTTTATCATTAATCTTTAACTTCGAGTGAATGGTATTCAACCTTTGGATTTAAAATACTTACTCTCTTTCTCAGCTAGTGGAAATTCATATTTACTGGTCTGAACATTTAATTTTCGCAGAAATTTAACAATTTGTATTATGTTAATCTGAATACTCATTGTAGGTATCCGTAACATTCTCAGAGAAACACTAATCAAACAGTTTATTACTGATTGGAAATAGTGCGAGTTCCCCGCCATGGAGGCAATTTTGATTTGTCCGTACCCCATTGTGCTCCCACGTCTTTCATTTGTTCCTGGTCGTCGACCTCGCCCTTGGCCGCTCAAGCCTTTTGGTGATCCTTAGCGCGGGAGCCTGCGCCAGCTGATTGCGTTGTGGCTGTCGCAGGCCCAGGCCCAGGCTCCGCCGCCGAGC